CAAACACCAGAGCCTTCTGGCCACCTCTGGGTCCTCCCCCCTCCCGCTGCCAAACCAGGCAGAGACCACCACAGGGTCTTTCCCCAGGACACAACAAGATGCTGCCAACTGAAGCCAAGCAGGAGCTTCAGACCACCTCAGACCTCATCAGCCTGAGTTGGCACAACTGTGACCTTAGAAGTTGTGCTTTCCTTCAGAAAGAGGAAAAATGGCTTCTTCCTTTCAAGAGCTGTCTGGGATCACAGGGGAGGGATGCTCCCCCTGCCCCCACAATGTGTCTGTCCCCTACTCCCACCCCAAGCCCCCCGGTGCCCGGGCTCCTACGTTCTCCTCCACTTCCTTGCGCAGCAGCTCGCACTCCCGGCTGTCCAGCTTCACCAGGTTCTGCGTGAAGAGCCGGGTCAGCCTCAGGGAAAGGCCGTAGGGAACTGGGAAGAGAAATTCCCAAGTCAAACTCCTCCCTTCTTGGTCACAGAAACGACCCAGCCAAAAGCTGGAAGCGTGGGGACACCCATGATGCTGGGGGTTCAGTTCCCCTATCACCAGCACCCAAACCCCACAGCACCAGCAGAGAAAGCCCTCTGGGATCTGGAGGGCTAACTGGGAAGCTCTGCCAGCTCCAGCAGAGGAAACAGTGCCCAGTGGTGTTTCTGGACTGATGAGGCAGTGAAATCAAGGCTGGGTCACTGAGCTAATGAGACCAGGACACACACAGGATACACCCACCACCCAGCCAGGCTGTCAGGAGGTCTCCAAGGTCACCATCTGTCCTGTTACAAGGCTGGATGCAGGAATGTGCTGCTCAGCTTCCCCCAGCATGGATGCAGGTAAAGGAACAACCTCCCTCCCCTTGCAATCAGGCTTGGAACTAACTCCATGGCTGCTGGAGCTGGGGGCCACCACCAAGGGTTGGTGTCCTTTATGGCAGCTGCAGCCCCCCCTCCATGCCCTGTTCCTCAGAAGTAGCACTTACTGAGATCTTTGGGGCTGGTGGCAGCGAGGGAGGTGAAGCCCTGCTTGTGAACGTTGTTGTTGATCTTCCAGCGAACTGTGTCCCGCCCCTTGAGGGACCCGGTGCGGACCAGGGGGGTGTCCAGGTGGTCGGAGGACATGAGGCTGTGGCGAAGCATGTAGTGGTCCTCCTTGAAGCCAATGGTGCGACCTGCAGAACCAGGGACAAACTGGGATCAAGCCTGCCAGCAACTTCCCAACACCAGAGACTCTCTTCTGGGGAATCTTCAGGGCTTCCACCACGCTAAGGGTGTTGGGATGTCAGGGATGGAGAGGGTAAGAGGTGTCCGTGAGTGGGGAGAGCACATCACACCACCTTGGCATTACAAGGGACATTGGTCAGGGGAGAACCAGCAGTAGGACGTATCAGGGTGTGGGACAGGGAGAAGCAGCAGCTCAAAGGCTCCTTGGCTCAGGCTCTCAGCTTGGAGCTTTTCCTCTCATCCCCCTCCCCAGCCCAGAGAGAAGGAGGAGGGATGCTTATCCCAGCAGGTCCCTCCATTCTGGGACAGCAATGACCCCCACAGATCCCTCTCCCCCCAGTTCCAAGGGATGGTACCTCGTGCACAGCAGGGAAGCAGGGCCAGGCAAGCCTAGAAAACAAATGACCAAAGACACAATCACTTGGCAACCAAGGGAAAAAAAAGACCCATCTCCAGCTAGGAGGGTTCACTCTGGCAGGGAGGGGTGGGCAGTGGGTGGATGGGTCTCTGGAAACTCATTTTAGCCGGATATTCCTGGGCAGGGGGGTGAATCCCACAGCGACTCATGTTGGCAACTGCAGAGGTGCTGGATACCACTGGGACCAGCCCCTGACAATCTGGCCACAAAACCACAGAAACATTTTGGTTGGAAAAGACCTTTAAAATCATCAAGTCCAACCATTAACCCAGCACTGCCAAGTCCACCACTAAACCATGTCCCTCAGCACCACACCTGCACATCTTTTAAATATCTCCTGATTGCTCACTACAGCTCCCTGAAAGGAGGTTGGAGAGAGGGGAATTGGTTTCTTCTCCAAAGTCACAAGTGATAGAACATGCTGGAGGCTGGGTGGATTCTGGAAATCAGTCATGGTTCTGGCCTTTACCTGTTCATCTCCCCAGGCTGGGGCACTCACCTTGCAGCAGGCACAGAACTTCCAGCAGAGCAGCAGCAGCAGCCCCAGGAGCAGGATGAGGAAGATGAGCAGAGGGATGAGCCAGACAAAGCTCCCTGGGGGACACTCTGTGGGCAACAGAAACGTCACTGCTGGGACCAGCCCCGGTGTGGGGTGTGCAGGGAGGCAGGGCAGAGGGGAAAGGCTGGACTACAGCAATTTGAAGGATGGGGCAGCCCAATTAAGCTCAGGGACTTTTCTCTTGGTGCTCACAACTATTCCACCTCTTTGGGATATCCAGCCACCCCAAGGGGCCATTCAGCACCTGGCATCAATCCCTGCTCATGCTGGCAGGTAAAAGGCACCTGTCTCCAAAGGTGCTGGTCTCTGAGGATGCTACACCCCACTCCTTGGTGTTCTTGTGACAGCCAATGTCACCCACCCTTGTCAGGCAAGCAGGGAGGTGCTGCCTGCAGCTGGCCCTGCCCAGGGGCACAGCAAACAGACAGAGGTGCTGTGGTCACTGCTGATCCAGACCCCAGGCTGCACATGCCCCAGGTCCCTGCTCACCTTTTTTCTTCTGCACACGGACAGTGGTGTTGGGGAGGACACTGGGGTCTCCCTCCAGGGTGTAGTGGTACGTGCAGTCATCATCCTCATCCTGGAAGGAGCAGTACTCACTGGCCTCCTCTGCAGAGAGAGGGGGACATGGTCACAAAGTCATCAGGACCAGGAAAAGCTTGAGGAGCAGCCCCACATGCACATGCACACACAGGGCAGGACTCATGGAGGACACATCACACATGTCTGCACCCAGCTCTGCTTCTCCCTGTACCTTTCTTCAGCTCTTCCACCATCTGGATCTGGAGGTGGCACTTGCTGCAGTTCCCTTGCATGTTGCCTGTTCCCCAGGCCTGGCAGCGGACGCAGTCCCGGATGCTCTCACACACAGCCTGGAAGCCCTGAGTAGGGAGGTCAGGTGGGATGGTCAGGGGAAAGCCCACGGGGAGAGAGGGAGGACATCACCTCTGACAGGCAGAGCTGGAGAGGCAACACTGCGTCCTCTCCCTGGCAACAGGGCAAGGCCAAATGGAGGAGTCACAGAGAACAAGGAGCTAATGAAGGATTTATCCATCCAGCACAGGTGGCTCCAAAATCTCTTGCACCAACATCCTGCATTTGGGCAGCAATAAGGGTTTTAGGTGGCCTTTCCAAAACGTGACCAAGCTGGCTTCCTCCACTCCCACTGGGGAGTTAGTCTGTGTTTGTCAATGGGGAAACTGAGGCACTAGACCCTGACATGCTTTTTTTCCAGTCTTGAGGCAAAGCAGAACAAGCCAGGAGCTGAGCCTGGAGCCTCTGCCCTTTACCAGGGTGAAGACAGACACAGAGACATCCAACAGTTGCTCTTAGGGAACTGGAGGACAAAGGAAGTCTGGGGCTCCAAAACAACTCCCATCTCAGACCTTTCCTGGCTACCAAAGGCAGCATGGGCAACACTAACCGCTGCTCAGGATTTTGCTCCTGACTGAGGTGTGCCTTCATCCCTGCTTTGCTCTCCTTCCCTGAAGGCTCTGCGTGGGAAGGAGAAGTGACAAACCCAGAGGGAACCCAGGCTGAGCCTCACCAGGGAGTAGCTGATTTCACAGGTGGAGCTGGTGTAGAGCGAAGCCTTGTCACAGATGCACCTGCCACACTCACACCTCCCGTGGTTGTTGCAAATGCCCTGGGAAAGGAGAGGGTGACACTTGGCACCTGAGAGCAAGTAGCAGCACCCACTGCAAGCTCCAGGAGTCAGCAAGGAGCCAGAGCTTGGGGTGTTGGGGACCATTTTCTGGAGCCCTGCCTGGTCTGGTGGCTCCTCACGCAAGGCAGGGCAGGACCTACCCCTCTGCTGTCGATGCAGGTGTCGTTGCTGGTGGGACATTCACAGCCCGGGCCCTCCCAGCCGCTCTGGCACACGCAGGCACCCTGGGAGCAGCGGCCGCGATCTGCGGCGGGAGAGAAGGGGTGACCCTGGGAACGGCCCTGCCCGCAGCTCTGCTGCTTGCTCAGGGGTGCACAGGGGCTGGGAACAGACCCCATAGCTTCCTCCCTGCACCTGCACAAGGGCAGGGTCCCCACAGCCCATCACTGGATGCTCAACCAGCCTGTGCCCTATGCAACTACCTGAAAGGAGGTTGCAGTGGGGGGGGGTTTGGTCTCTTCTCACTCGTAACGAGCGAAAGGATGAGAGGAAATGGATTCAAATTATGCCAGAGATCAGGAAAAAACTTCTTTACAGAAAGGGGTTTTTAAGCACTGGAACAGGCTGCCCAGAGAAGTGGTGGAACCACCATCCCTGGAGGTGTTTAAAAATCCCTCAGGTCTGGTGCTGGGGGCAGGGGTTTGGCAGCAGCTGAGGGAGCTGGGTGAGCAGAGTCAGGTTCAGGGTTGGACTGGATGATCTCCCAGGTCTTTTCCAACCTGAACGGAGTCTGTGGCACTGCCACCCTCCCAGGGACACCCTGCCCGTGCCCACAGGCCCAGCAGAGCCCACGGCAGGGGGAGCCGGGGCTGCTCTCACCGTTGCAGAGGAAGCCCGAGGTGCGCGGGCACTGCAGGACGTCGAACTGGCAGAAGGCGCCGTCGAAGCGCTGGGCCAGCTCCTCGGGGTAGCACTGGCACCTCCCGCACAGGCACTCGCCCCTGCCCGAGCACGGCTCCGTGTCCCCGGGGCGGATGCAGGCTTCGTTGTTGGGGGACGATTCTGGGGAGCAGTCACACGTGTCCCCTCTCCTGGTTGAGGAAGAGACGGTGCTGAGAGAGGCAGGGGGGGGGGGCAGGGCAGCAGGGTCCTGGGCAAGGTGCCCAGGGCATCAGTGGGTGTCACTGTGTGTCCTCAGACCCAGCAGGAGTCCTGGGAGAGGTAGGGAGCTGGGCAAGGGCCTTACCAGCCTGGATGGCAGATGCACTGTCCACAAACAAAGTCCCCGTGCAAGCTGCACTTGGGTGAGCTAAACTCTTGTTGCTGTAAGAGGAGAGGGAAGATGCACTGCTGAGCAGGCCCAGCTGCCCTCACAGCCATCTCAGGAATCAGAAAGGCAGACCCTAGGGGCAAAGTTTTGCCCACAAGGCCGAGCTCTGCCACAGGACAACATGCCCAGCTTGGTACAGGCTGTCATGAAGATCTCCTTGGCTGGGCTGAGCCCCCACAGGGCAGCACTGAGGGGTGGAGCAGGACCCCACACACGGCCACCGCGTTCCCAGCCCCGGCCGGCCAGGAGGAGGACATCTCTCTGCAACACACACCCCCACGTACCTGTTCACAGGGACACACATCACAGATGACAGAGGTGGTGACCTGGAGGCTGTCACTCAGGGAGGTGGGTTTCACGTGGATGACCCCCTGCCGGTCCCTCTCGGGGAGGCTGCAGACGTGCTGCCCACCGACGTACTCCAGAGCCTTCACGTGCATGTTGAACTTGCCCTGGGAGGAAGAAACACGTGGCAGGGGTGAACCAGCTCTGCTGGACCACAGCTTGGCCAGACTGACCCTGGGGGAAGGAAGAAGGAGGGATGCAGTGGAGGGCTCAGCCCCTCACACACACACACCTTCCCTCCAGAGCACCTACCACCTTCCCACGGCTGATGTGGAAGGAGCCAGATTCTGTCTTTTCATACATGGAGGAGGTGAACTCTGTCTTCATGGCTTTGGGGACAAAGTCAGCCCGGATGTCCATCTTGGAGTGGATGCGCTGGGTGGCAGAAGATAACCACAGCACTGATTTTCAGCAGCACACCTGGGACCACCCCATGGCCTGTCCCAGAGGGGCCACATCCCACCTCCTCTCCTGGGCAGAAGGTGTTCACACCCCCTGCCTTCCCAGGGAGGGAAAGTGAAGCCCCAGAGAGGACCATTACCTTAAAGGCTGTGTCCAGCAGGTCCACAATGTTGGAAGAGTCCTCCTGGAGCACCCCAATCTCAGAGATGGGGAAATACCTGTGCAGCTTCTGCAGAGACAGGAGCCCCCTGAGCCAAGGCCTTGAGAAACCTCCTCTAGCAATGAAGCGGGTTCTGCTTTGAGCAGAGCTTGGACTGAAGACCTTTAAAGGTCCCTTCCATCCTAAATTACTCTCCAGCTCTGTGTCCCCACTGCTCCACAAGAAACAGACACCAACACAGGGACACCTCTAGGATCACAGATTCCTGCACCCAATAATACACCTTGAGACCTCCTACAACCCAGAGCAGCCCCCCAACACACTGTGGCATCATTCCAAAGTATCAAGATGTTGGTTTAAGCACTTGGGGACAAGAGATGGGAGAGAGCTCTCTCCTCAGAGCCAAGGTGCAGGCAGAGGAGCAATGATCCTGGAGGAAAAGTGAGCCCACATGGCACCACCACCATGGTCTCCTCACCTCGTAGTAGCTGTAGGAGTGGTTGGTGACAGCAAAGATGGGGATGATGTTGTGTTGGCCCAACAGGCGCACCAGGGTGGGCACTGAAGGGTAGTCCTGCTTGGTGTCATATACGTAGGTGCCATCAGCATCCAAGTGACATTGCTCATCATTTCTTGCCAGGATCCCTGCCAGGACGTTGGTACCATCAGCTTCATAGTGAAAGGCAGATTCAGTGGAGAACACAAGCAGATGAGTGCTGTCCTTCCTCCAGCCAATCTTATCCTACAGCCGTGGAGAGGGAGAAGGAACCTTTATCTTGGTGCTCCCCAAATCACTGCACTTGCAACCCTGGCAGGAGCTGAAACCCAAGGGATAAGGCACCACCTCCACTTGGCAGCAAACACAACCAGCCAGGTGGCCCAGGGAATCCCAGCCAGCAGGTCTCTGCTTCCCTCCTCTGCACCCCCAGTGCTCAGGGTGTCCCAGCAGCTGGGTGCCAGGCACATCCATGTGCAGGGGGCAAAGCCCACGCTTTCCTGGACGTGTTGGGAGCTGCACTCATCCCTCAGCCAAGTGGCCAAGCCCAAACGGGCTGTTTTCCAGGGAGCAGTTTCATCCCCCTGGGCATGAGGGGAGCACAGAAGCACAGGCAGGGTGCCCAGCCAGCAGTGCCTGTGCTGGGGGATCAGACACCAGGGATACACACATTGATGGTCTAAGACCTAGGAAAAACTGGGAATACAAAACAACTTGGCATCAGGAGAGTGCAGCTGGGAGGGTGGGAACTGACTGTAGCTGAATGTCTATCCTGGGCTCCCTGGTTGGCTGCTCAGCTGCCCAACATGCTGCTCTTTTGCTCACCACCCAGGATCAAGAAGATCCACTCACTGAAAGCAGAGCCCTGCCCAGCTGGCTCCTGCATCCCAGGCCACCCTCACCTTGCACACAGCTGTCTGCAGGATGGCATCAAAGCCACCCTCAGGGGCGTCCAGGTTGCCCGAGATGCGCTCCTTCCTGAGCTCCTGGCTGAAGTGGTTGATGTTGCTGGTCAGACGGATGATGTTCTTGAAGGAGAAGGGGGAGTCAGCATTGTTCCAGGGCTCACGCAGCCTGGGAGGGAACAGGAGAGCAGGGTGGGTTTTCTTGAGGGGAGGCCAGGAGCAAAGGGGTGTTTGGATGCAAGGAGAGGAAGCTTGAGGAGTCCCTCAAGGGAAGAGGTGCAGTTGAGGTGGCAGCACTGAGAGGTAGGAGGGATAAGGGCAGAGATGGAGGAGAGGACAAGATGTGTGAGCTGTCGTGGCAGAGGGAGGAAGGTCTGAACTTGGAGGAGGACACTGCTGGCTCTGGCACTGTGCTACAGCAAGGCCCAAGCACAGGGTGGGGAGGCCAGGGGACACATTCACAGCCAAGAGATGGGGAGGGATGGAGGCTCTCGCACTGCAGTGAAGGTCAGGAAAGCCACGGAGAGACAGAAGGCACCTGCCCTCCCCTCTGCTCCCATCCCAGGAACCCGCTGGCCTCACTCACTTCTCAGGTCTCATGTCTGTCTGCGGGGATGAAACTTTGTCCACAAACTTGCCAAATCCTATGGTGTAATCAGAGGTCAAGTTCTGCAGGAACTCAGCTGGGAAGCGAGGAAGGGAGGAAGAGACACATGAATAAAGAGATGTCTGTGAGGTCGCTGCTCCAGGGAAAGAAGTCCTCTCCTGGCCACATGTTTTGAGGGTCAGGTCTTAGATTAGACTCTCAAACTGTCTATTTTTAAGCTCTTTGTGCTTGGGGCTTGTCTTTTTTTGGGGTAGAAAAAGTACAGGGGATGATCCCTGCAGGGCCAGGAGAGACATCACCCCACCGAGCTGCACAAAGCAGCAAGAATGAGCAACTGATTCAACCTGACACCTCTCAGCCCTTTGCCAGCTCTGTCCCTTTCTCTGGGGCTGGCAGAGAACCCACAGGCAGGAGCTGCTGCTGGCCTCCATCAGGCTGACTCCCCTCTTCTCCAAATTCTGGTCTCACCTAGGTTTTGGCCCATGCTTTTGAGGTTGTCCAGATCATCAGACATAGAGTAGGAGAAATCCATGAGGATGTAGAGGTCCACGGGGCTCTCCAAGGGCTGGAAGACATCCATGTTGAAGCTCATCTCCTCCCCAGCTCGCAGTCGCATGAACATGCCCTGGGGGGACACCTGAGTCCTCTTCAGGGATGTGTCAATACTGAAATTCTGTGAAGAAAGAGCAACTTGAAGGGCATGGACTCCACCTCCTGCATGGATGCAACAAGGAGGAAGTAAGGAGCAGGGAGGTCTGTGGAAAGTGAAAAGGAAGGGATGATCACTCCCTCTTCCCTCATATGCACAGCTGGAGATGGGGACCGGATGCAACAAGGAGGAAGAAAGGAGCAGGGAGGTCTGTGGAAACTGAAAAGGAAGGGATGATCACTCCCCCTTCCCTCATATGCACAGCTGGAGATGGGGACAGCCTCCCCTGTGTCCATGTGTGCCCAGCTGGGAACCTCCTCCAGAGGAATAGTGGGACCCCTAAGGAGAAGCTGAGCAAGGGCTGTGTCCCCAGTACCCACCTGCTGGGTCCTCATCTCACCCCTGGTGTAGACGATGCTGCCCTCCCCGCAGCCGTAGCGCAGCAAGTTCTCCCGCAGGTTGCAACGAGGCTCTTTAAAGGTCTGCCAAGGGGGCAAGGACAACATGACAACCACAGAAAGCAGCAAATCCTCCATGCAAGGAGGAAAAGCACCAGTCAGGTCCCCTGCTGAGACATTTACTGGGCCTTTGGGAGCAGGAGGAGGGCAGAGAGGTGGCACTGAAGAGCCAATGTCTCCCAGCATCAGGGAAACGTGACCACCAGCAAGCTGCTGGGTTGTTTGGGATAAGACTCTCCCTCCATCCTTTGCACACACTGTTTCAGATCTGGGACACTGGCATTTTTTTGATAAACCCCTGTATTCCTGAAAGTTTGCCTGGATTCCCCTTCTTCCACATGTGCCTGCCCCAAAGGAAACCCATGTTTTTGTGCTTCCCACCCAGACCAGCTCTTTGCAGGGAAAAGCTGGAGCCAGAAGCTTGTTCCTGGCCATGCCAGCACCAAGCTGACCCTGCTCTTGGGTCCCTCTCCCAGCTTTCCCTGGGGATGGTGGGATCCCTCCACCAGCAGGGCAGGAAGCAGAGCCCTGGGCTCCCCTGCAGGGTCTCACCTCGTCGGTGCAGAAGGAGCAGTCCTTGTCCACTCGGATGCACTCGGTGCAGCTCTTTGCTCGGGACAGCACACAGGGGTTATCTACCAGGAAAGATCAGGTCATCAGGAATGGAAGAAAACCCAGGGAGCCATGGGAAAGGCTGATTCCATTCCTGGGGGAGCTGATGGAGGTTTTGCATAGGTGGTTAGTGGAGACCACAGACAGACCCATCCCAGCTGCACTCACTTTTGCTGCTTTGGCAGTGGCCAGTGGCACAGAGCAGGGACAGGAGGAGCAGCCCAACACATGCCTGGGGCAGAACATCCATCCTCTTCCTCCTGAAACACATGGATCACTACATTGCAGAGAGCTGAGAGACGGAAACAATCCTGGGGATGACGAGGGCAGCTCCTGCCCTGCCTGGGCGGGACAGCCCTGCCTGCCCCAGGCGAGCTCTGATCTCAGCAGGGCAGGGCACAAAAGCAAAGCCAAGAGCGGCTTGTCCTTTGACTGGGGAATCTGCCAAAGGCTCAAAGTCCCTGGAATGCCAGGGCAGGGCAGTTGCTACGACACAGCACCCCTGTGCCCTGGAGCTGGGGTGCCTGGAGTGACAGGTCCCCTGGGACAGCAGGATCAGTGCCAGCAGCCAGAGCCCAGGCTGCTCCCAGCACTGCCCACACCTGCAAGCACAGAGCAGCTCAAACTTTGCTTTTCCTGGCAGGTGAAGGAAAAAAAAGAGGAGAGGAAAACAAAGCAACTGCCTGCATCTCTCCCCCAGACCAAAACAGACCCCTCCCTGCCACCATTTCCTATCGCACTAAGAGTTTCCAGGACGGTCAAACCAACAACAAATAGAGGGTGAGGCCTGGGAAGTGCTGAACGTGGAGCCTTGGAGCTGTTGAATGAATTGGTGGTCTTGAAAGCCCAGCAGCTCCCCTCTGTCCTGCCCAGGGCAGCAGGACCCCCCACATGGATCCAGAGACCAAATCCTCAACAGAGTGAACTGTCTCACCCAGATGTGACTGAGAAGACTCAGTGCCACCCAGGAGTCAGTGCTTGGATTTGGTCAACAAAAGAGACAAAGCTGGAACTCGAGCTCTGTGGCTGCTGTGCTGGAGGTGGCTCTGACTCCACCAGCCCCAGCACAGCAAGTGAGAGGGGTCAAGGCAAAAGATTTGGTATAAAGATAATTTAAAAGGATCTCCTTTCTGGAAAATGCAAGTGTGAAATATAAGATGCAAATGGGTTAGTTTATAGCTTCTTGCTGCATGAGCTCTGACTAAAGAACTAAAGAGAATGTGAAAACCAGTTAAAACAGGGAGGAAAACGGAAATAGTTCTGTGCAGTGAAGACATCTGAGTTGCCAGGGGAACATCCAGCACACGGACCAGTCAACACTAATGGCCTGACCTGAGGCCCAGGGAAACCCCTGGAAAGATCCTCTCTAGCATCAACAGTGTTGGATTCCAGTGTATCCTGCATTGGTCGCTGAAGCCAATGGAACTGCAGGAAGCTGAGCACTCAGAGAAATCATTGCAGCACAGGGCTTGAACCCACACAGCATCAGCCCCAGGAAACATCTCCCTCAGTGTCCACACTTTGATCTCCATGACAGTGATTGGATATGCAGATAAGGCAGGACAAGAAATGGGAGCCTCATCTTGTCAACTGTGCTCAGAGGGATTTATCACAGAATGGTTTGGGTTAGAAGAGACCTTAAAGATCATCTAGTTCCAATACCCTGCATGGGCAGGGACACCTCCCAGTAGATCAATCAGGTTGCTCAGAGCCTCATCCAACCTGGCCTTGAACACTTCCAGGGTGGGGACATCTGACTGCTACCATGTCTTTTAAGTGCTGAGATCAAAGGCCATAAAACTCAGCCTGATATTTGATGCCCTGTTGCCCTGGGAGTCACCAACCTCCAAGGATTCAGTGGGCAGCTGCCAGCAGGCAGGTGCTGGTGGCACAGAGCATCACTGCTGCCACTCGGTGCCACTGGCAGCAGAAACACAGCCCATAATATCTGTGCTGCACAAACTTCTGCCCTGCTCCAGAACTTGGAAATTGATCAAACCAGACCCCCAGAAAAAGACCTGCAAATCAAAGAGTCGCTTAAACAGGAAGTTGTATTTGTCTTTGGTCGTGTTTGTCTGCTCCATCCATCCCCCCTCTCTCCCCAGGTGTGTCTCTGCAGCCAGGAGGCTCCACACGAGTGTCCCCATTTGCTGTTTCCAGCGAGGAGGATCTTGGCTCCCAGGTCTGTGCTCCAGATCCCAGATACAGCCCTTGGCCTCCTGCACTGAAGGACCAAGCCCAGGGGTCCCAGCCCGGGGAGCTGCCAGGAGCCAGGGAGAGGCCGCGGTACCGGCTCCTCCCTCTGCCCCCCGGGAATCCCGAGGGACAGGCAGGAATGTCAGGACCCTCCTGCAGGGCTGCCCGAATGCCAGCAAAGCCCCGACACCCTCCCACCCCCCCAGAGTGCTACTCCAGGCACACTCCCCGCTCCTTTGATCCCCAAGACACTTTTCCTCTCCCTCCCCTCCCTGGCTGCTCCTCACTCCCCTTTCCCCCCACCTGCCGGCTCTGACCCTTCCGCCCATTTCCCTAATTCCCATCCGTTTCAGAACCACCACGTCGCAAATCCCCCACCACGTGCAGGTCGGCAAAGCCCACCCTGAGCCCCCACTGCCCCCGGGCATTTCTTTCCCTGCAGGAACCCCCCCCAGCAGGGGCTGGGGCAGCCACCTCTTCTGCACAACAACCTCCGGGGGGCTCAGCAGGTCGGAGAGACCCACATCCCAGCCGCCCTTGTGCTGTTCCACCCGTGAAAAGTTTCCCCTGGGTCCAAGGCACAACAACCACCTTCTCTCCCTGGAAGCGGGATGCTGGGAAGGGGCACCCTTAGAGACCTGCCCCAAAGGGTCCCGCAGGGCTGGGCACTGCCCTCCCACCCTGCCTGGCCCCACCTCCAGGCCACAGCCCCCCCACCCAAATACCTTCAGAGACAAAACCCACCCGTGCAGCCCTGCAAAGCTCTGTCACCAGCCTCACCCACCCCAACCAGCAGGCACGAGACTCTGCCCAACAGCCAAAAGCAGAGGAAAAAAGGGGGGAACAAGCAGGCAGGGACCTGACACCCCCCCCAACTCCCTGCCCACCTGCTCCCGCACCTTCTTTGCACCCCCCTGGTTAATCAGCGCCGTGACACGAAAGCAGGCTGGAGGCTAAAGAGCACAGATGAATTAATTCCACAAACCTCATTAGCGCTGGGTCTGACTCACTGTCCAAATCCTCTGCTGCAGCCTCAACAACAGGCACCCACACACCAAGCCAAGAAATTCCTCCGAAGGCAGAGGGGAACGTGCTGCTTCGCTGCCACCTCCCGATCCCAGCCTCGGCCTTCGCTTTTTGGGTTTCTTTCTTTTTTTTTCCTTTTCTTTTCTGTTTTTTTTCTTTTCTTTTTTCTCCCCTCCCTCCTCTGTCCCCTCTCTCTTTCCGGTTAAACGTCACCCTCCAGCCGGGCAGGCAGGGCAGGCAGCCGGGGATCCCACATTCCTCCCTGCAGGTTCCTGCACCTCCCGTCGAGCAGCGACTTTGTTTTTCCCCCCCCCTCTCGTTGTCCCGGAGCTGCCGCCTCTGCCTCCCGAGGGGCTGGCAGGGAGGAAAGGTGGGACCAGCGGTAGAATGAGGTTGGATCCCAGGTGAGGACAAGCTTTATCCCAGCTAGGGAGGGCGGAGAGAGTGCCCGTGACTCAGAGCCTGGCATTCCTCCCTCGCACACCTGGACGGGCAGCCCGGACCCTCCCTCCGCACAAGCACCATCCAGCGGGAATGGGACGGTCCCGCGGGGGCAGAGCCCTGGGTGCTCCCCAGCCCCCGCGCTGGGGGTTTCTCCACGTTTCCCACTGGCACAAGCTGGATATGGGGTGTGATCCCTGGGGCTGCCCCGGGAGCTCCCGGCTGGAGTATCAGGGAAGCTCTTGCTGTGAGCACGACCGCCCAGCTGCGGTCCCAGGCTCATTAAGAGGATGGATCCACAGCCCGCGGTACCCAAGCATTCCAGCCCACTCCTCAATGTGCCAGAGATCTGGCTCTGGGGCAGTGCAGCCCCTTGTAGCACCGAGACCCACCCACAGCTGCTCCTGGGGCATCCAACCGTGGCACAAGACTCTGCCATCCCACCACTGCGTCCAGCCCTTCTGCTGGGCTGGATCCAAAACCCCTTCCCCAGCCAAAGGAACAGAAGAGAAGGCTTTGGAGTTCAGGTGAGGCTGTTTTCTTTTGTCCCACAGCATCCTTTTGCTTTAGAGCCTGAAATTCATCACTGCTCAGCCCCAGTCACACCTCCCATGGTGCAGGGTACACATACCAGAGCAGAAGCAGCAAAGGCTGCATTTTACCTCCCAAATAAATCCTCCCGAGGAAAACTGCAGCCCCCCCAGCTTCAACACAAACAACAGCAACATCCAGACAAAAAATTTGCATATTTCCTGCCTTTCTTTGAGAGCAAAAATGGGCCTCTTTGTTATCAAGGCAGCATCACAGTGGCTGCTAATTTACTCCCTACCGATGGAGACCAAGAATTGATTCAAACGAAAGCAAGGGGCAGGATTCCTTTCACTACAAGAAATAGGAAGCTTGAGAAAAAAAATGTGTGTGAACTGATCAAGCCCCAGGAAAAAGGAGGACATGCTCCTGCCATTAAAAACTGCAGCAAACGGGAAACAGGCAGGGGTGCAGCTGAAGATGGCCCAGGCAGTTGAACTCTGGCATTTCCTAGTTACATGACTTGGCAATCTCAACCTTACCCTGGCCCTTTTGGACATGCCATTTCCTGTATTTAAACAAAAAAATCCTGAAAATTAAGGGGCTTTGTTGTTTGGGTTTTGTTTTGGGTTTTGCTCTTTTTAACCACAACAGGCATTTACTGCAACCTGGGGGCTGGGACAGGAGGCTCTGATGCTTGAGCTGCAGCAGCAGCTGCTGGCAAAGGGCAGGTGGTTACTGCTGAGGGGCTGAAGGCAGAGGGTCCCACTCTGCCTTGGGGAGCCACAGAGGGAGGAGAGAGAGAGAAAAATTTGGCTTCAGCTTCCCCAGCAGGTCCTGGTGCTTGCAGAGGTGTCTGCTCACCTCCTCTGGTCCTGTCCACAGCAGCACCCATCCCACCTCCCACCTGCACAGTTCTCCCTGGGCACTGGGACAAGCCCTGCTGCCAGGTGCTGGAGTGAAAAAAAAAGCAAACAACAACACAATTTGAGCTACAAGCAAGAAATACGTTACTTAAAAGTATTTTAGTAATGGTTCCCCAGCAGGAGCCCTGGAGGCAACCAGAAAAGCCTGGGAGCA